TGGTCAGCACACACTGTCCATGCGCCTCAGACAGTCCAACGATTGGTAGTCTTAAAGCACACATTCCTGGGAAAAGTTTCTGTTATCACCGTTTCTCACACATTGCTTTCTGCTGACCTCTGCATTCCTGCAGCTGCAGACTTGTTCTTGTTTGACTAACGGTCAGCTCCTGGCCTTCTCAGAACCCAGAACAATCCTTTAAAACTGCCAAGACCCCAGCACTTTTGCTTTCTTGATTGTTGAATACAGCATTCTTTTGAACAAATATTCCCTAGAGACTAAATATTGTGCAGATTTCCTTCACTGCCTGAAAATACATTGAATATGTGCTCTTTGTGTTTGCTGGCAATCAGGACAAATATTACTTCACTTTAGCCCAACCACTTATGCTTATGATCTATGATTTGTTTCCTGAATATGATACTAACTTAACACCTCTTCTCAACATACTCTATTATTACTTACACAGCATTGGACATGTCTTTCAGGAGAGATTTTCCACTGACACTTTAACAACAAGTTTTGTCATTATTCTGCCTTTCACATAATTTAGGAGACAATTTTCATGAGTAACCATTTTAATGGTCTTTTCCCATTTCTATGCTGCTTCTGTGCAGCTAATGAACTTTGCTTTAGCAATGTATATTCTTTGATGATTTTGAGATCCTAAGTTTCATCCTTTTTCAGAACTGAAAGGATGCTCACTGAGCTCACACTGTTTCAGTACTACAGGCTTTGGATCTGTTTAAGTTCTCAACAGAAGTTCTTTGGCTACAAGTAAAAGTAGTTTTAGGTTTATGTTTCCTATGACACAATTACAGATAAAGGACCAGAGAAAAGAAGCCAATAGTATTGCAGCATTCTAAAATGCTTTTTCTCTGATGCAGTTTGCTTTTTGAAGGTCTGCTGTTTGTTACAGGAAATATAACCAAATCTTACAGACTCCCTTAAGCTGTAGTTCTTTAATTGCTTCAACTGATTTCTAATACAACTCAGTGATGTGGTTTTCAGCATAATTTGTCTTCAAAACCTCACATGAGGGAATATTATATCATACCTCCAGCCCAGTGAGTCCTAGGCTGACAGCTGGGACTGTACTTTCTACAACTTCTATCTTGAAATAATCTTTTTGTGATTAATTTTCACCTCAGTATTTGAGCATATTAAAACATTTTGTATGTTTATAATCATCAATTTGCCTTGTAATTCTGAAATATTTCTTTTCTATTGATGTCACACTGTGAATGTGAAGAATTATATTGTGTTTGCGTGGCAAGGTTTTGGTAGCAGGGGGGCTACAGGGGGGGCTTCCGTGAGAAGCTGCTAGAAGCATCCTATATGTCTGATAAAGCCGATGCCAGCTGGCTCCAAGACAGACCTGCTGTTGGCTAAGACTGAGCCAATCAGCCATGGTGGTAGCACCCCTAGGACAACATATTTAAGAAGGTAAAGAAGTTATTGCACAAAAGCAATTGCAGCTAAAGCGAGGAGGAGTGAGAGCATGTGAGAGGAACAACTCTGCAGACACCAAGGTCAATGCAGAAGGAAGGGGAGGAGGTGCTCCAGGCACCAGAGCAGATTCCCCTGCAGCCTGTGGTACAGACCATGGTGAAGCAGGCTGTCCCCCTGCAGCCCATGGAGGTCCACAGGGAAGCAGAGAACCACCTGCAGCCTGTGGGGGACTCCAGGCTGAAGCAGATGGATGTGCCTGAAGGAGGTTGTGACCCCATGGGAAGCCCACACTGGAACAGTCTCCTGGCAGGATCTGTGGACATGTGGAGAGAGGAGCCCATGCTGGAGCAAGTTTGCTAGTATGACTTGTGATCTCATGGGGGACCCACACTAGAGCAGCTCATGAAGAACTGGATCTAAAAGAAGAAAAATCATAGATATGGGGACAAGGTTTGAGTTACATAAACAAGAAAGAAAATACAACATTTAAATGTCTTCTAGGAGAAAAAAAAAAAAAAGCCAAAACAAGGACAGATTCATTAGTAACAAAAAACACTGCCAGGTGAGGCTGCAAGCAACAAAAGCAGGGAGGGAATGCAGGCAGGTCACACACCAAACCAGATCACGAAGAGAAACGAACATGGCCGAAGGGGGGGGGGGATGAAGGAGAAGGGGCGGGGGGAGGAGAAGAGGAGGGGAGGTGAAGAAGAGGTGCGAGCTTTATCTTTAACACCAGCTCAACCACACTAAGAAATTTACTTTGCGGAGCACAGCATGCTTACTAGAGTCCATCACACTCTACAAGTAGGGCAACCTCCACTCCTCATTTCATACCTCTAACTCTTCCGGCGATGGCGGCTCCACCCCTCCAGATTTTGCCGCCGCGGAGGGCGCAATCTCCTGGCCTAAACAGCGGCGGCGCGGTGTGCCTCATCTTCCTTCCGGCCACCATCTCGTTCTACCCCGTGTGTTGTGCTCCGTCCTCATCCTGCTCCCACAACCCTCACCTTTCCCACGCTCTGGCGCCGCTGCTTCCGCCTTAAGAAGGTACATAGGAGACGGTAGGGAGGGACTAGGGTGGAATTTCTTGCGCGAGCGAGGGTCGTGGGTCAGTGGGCGGCCATGGTTGGGGGAAGGGAAAGCAAGGCAAGGCAGTTACGGACAGGGCCTGAGGGTAGCTGAGCTGAGCTTCGGTGGCACTGTGCGTGAGCAAACGGCCCCTCCCCCCCCTCCGCCCCCATCCCCCCAGCAGGACTTGGATGTCCTCCTGCCTGGGGTGTGTGTGGGGAGAGGGGTAGCTGCAGAGCCACTTGTGCCCACCTACCTTACTGCCGGGCCTGGGTTGTGGCCTGTGCCGCGGGGTGCTTCCTGACCTTTTTTCCATAGGTACTCTTGTTTCCACAGATGAAAGAAACGATCATGAACCAAGAAAAGCTTGCCAAGCTCCAGGCCCAAGTGCGCATTGGTGGCAAGGTAGGAATTGTCTCCCATCCCTTCTCTCGGGAATATGAGTCACTGTCCATATGTGGGGCCATGGATGTGGGATCCTGAAAACTCGGGTGGGGAGCAGCCCTAGGGACTCTTGGCTTGGCTGGACTGTCCTTGGGGGAAGCTGCACTCCTGTAGGGGTCTCCAGTCAGTTCAGTAGAAGCAGAATGTAGGAGGAGTTGAAGCTCCAGCCTTTTCTGTTTGGATTTGTTATATTATAGCTGACTTGTAGCCTATATTCTTGTATAGACTATATTAAAAGGCCCTTGGGACAGGACAACCCTGGATGTATGTACAAACCAGGGTATAAGATATTGTAGAGCAGCACCACAGAAAGGGACCTGGGGGGTCCTGGTCAATGGCAAGTTGAATATGAGTCAGCAGTGTGCCCTGGCAGCCAGGAGGGCCAACCATGTCCTGGGGAGCATCAGACAAAGCATCATCAGCCAGTCAAGGGAGGTGCACTGGTGCAGCCTCACCTTGAATATTGTGTGTAGTTTTGGTCACCACAATATAAGAAAGATATAAAGCTATAAGAGTGTGTCCAAATGAAGGTAATGAAGATGGTGAAGGGTCTAGAGGGGAAGCCATATGAGGAGTGACTAAGGTCACTTGGTTTGTTCAGCCTAGAGAAGGGGAGACCTCATAGAACTTCCTCACAAGGGAAAGAGGAGGGGCAGACACTGATCTCTTCTCTGTGGTGACCAGTGACAGGACCCGAGGGAATGGCCTGAAGTTGTGTCAGGGGAGGTTTAGGTTAGATATTAGGAAAAGGTTCTTCACCCAGAGAGTGGTTGGGCACTGGAACAGGCTCCCCAGGGCAGTGGTCCTGGTCCCAAGCTTGTTTGATTTCAAGAAACCTTTGGACAGTGCTCTCAGCACATGGTGTGATTCTTGGGGTTATCCTGTGCAGGGCCAGGAGTTGGACTCGATGATCTTTGTGGGTCCCTTCCAGCTCAGGATATTCTATGATTCTATGATTAGGATTTGAAGTAAGTAGATCTTATGCAAGTGATCTTGGGTATAGTTTTCATAATAGACTAGAGTGCTATGTTCCAAATTCTCATCACAAATCTTTAGGATACCCACGGCTGTTTTCTTGCTTTTTAAAACAAAGCTGGAGTTTCTGTACTTGTCATACTCTTATTATTGTAGAATAACATGCTCAGAAGACCTTTTTATTTTATTATAACATCTGAATGTATGTTGCTTTGTGATTACTTGTAATCTGAAAATAAAAAAGTATGTTGAGTATAGTTGTATGCTAGTAAACATGTTAATTACAATTTTAGTTTTAATACAAGAATTTGTAAGTAAATTTTTTTTTTTTTTTACACCTGAGGAAATGCGCACACAATATTTTAGGATACAAACTATTCTAAAATAAGATAATGGGAGCAGTGGTAAGGGACTCTGGAGTGCAGGTAGTTTTCTCATCAATTCTGGTCAAAAGGAAGGAGTTTGAAAGGGTCAATTGAATCTGGCGAATCAGCAAATGGTTACAGGACTGGTGCCACAGCCAGGGATTTGACTACTTAGACCATGGGACTTGCCTTGAGAAACCTTGTCTCTTGGGGGCTGATGGGTCCATCTGTCAGAGAAGGGGAAGAGCATCTTCAGTCATAGGCTTGCCAAGCTGGTGAAGAGGGCTTGAAACTAAAGTTGCCAAGAGCAAAAACTCAATCCATCCCACTCCTACTAGTTAGATGCAAGGGTCAGTGAGAGATGCCCAGAGCCTGGAGAGGGATCACAGGTCAACAGGAGAGCACTAAGGGAAGATCAGCACCAAGGAATTCCAGCCACTCCAGTCAGTAAGTCAGCTTCATTGGGGGCCCAACTTAAATGCCTCTATGCAAGTGCATGCAACATGAGGAATAAACAGGGCGTGCACACACCTGCAGGGCTATGACCTTATTGGCATCACAGAGACATGGTGTGAGGCTCCTATGAGTGGAGTATTGGAATGGACAGATATAGGCTCTTTAGGAAGGACAGGCAGGGGAGACAAGGTGTTGCCATGTCAGTGACCAGTTGGAGTGCGTGGAGCTCCCCCTGGGGATGGATGAGGAGCTGACTGAGAGTTTATGGGTCAGGATTAAAGGGAGGGCAGGGACAAGTGATGTTATAGTGGGGGTCTGCTACAGGCCGCCAGACCAGGAAGACTGAGTGGATGAGGCTCTCTACAGATAGATAGAAGCGGCCTCACATTCAGAAGCCCTGGTCCTCATGGGAGAGTACAACCACCCTGATATCTGTTGGAGGGACAAGACAGCAGAGCACAATCAATCCAGGAGGTTCCTGGAATGCATTGATGACAACTTCCTTCTCCAAATGATAGAGGAGCCAATGACAAGGGGTGCTGTGCTGGACCTTATTCTCACCAGCAAGGAGGGGCTGGTGGGGAATGTGAAGTTCAAGGGCAACCTGGGCTGCAGTAAACATGGAATGGTGGAGTTTGAGATTCTTAGGGCAGCAAGGAGTGCACACAGCAAGCTCAGTACCCTGGACTTCAGGAGAGCAGACTTTCACCTCTTCAGGGATCTGCTTGGTAGAGTAGCATGGGATGAAGCCCTGGAGGGAAGAGGGGCCCAAGAAAGTTGGTTGATATTCAAGGATCACCTCCTCCAAACTCAGGAGCAATGCATTCCAACATAGAGGAAGTCAGGCAGAAATGCTGGGAGGCCTACATGGATGAACAAGGAGGTCCTGGACAAGCCCAAACACAAAAAGGAAACCTACAGAGAGTGGAAGCATGGACAGGTAGCCTGGGAGGAATACAGAGAAATTGTCTAAGCAGCCACAGATCAGGTTGGGAAAGCTAAAACCCTGATAGAATTAAATCTGACCAGGGATGTCAAGGGTAACAAGAAAATCTTCTATAGGTACGTCAGTGATAAAAGGAAGACTAGGGAAAATGTGTGCCCCTTCTGGAAGGAAATGGAAGACCTGTTTGCCCAGGACATGGAGAAGGTTGAGGTACTCCAAGACTTTTTTACCTCAGTCTTCACCAGCAAGTGCTCCAGCCACACCACATGAGTTGTAGAAGTTGAATGCAAGGATTGGGAAAATGAAGAATCACCAGCTGTTGGAGAAGACCAGGTTTAAGACCATTTAAGGAACCTGAGGGTGCACAAGTGCCTGGGGCTTGATGAGATGCATCCATGGATTCTGAAGGACCTGACAGAGGAAGGAGCTAAGCCACTATCCATCATATTTGAGAAGTTGTGACAATCCAGTGAAGTTTCCACTGACTGGAAAAGGAGAAACATAACCCATGTTTTTGCAAAGGGAAATAAGGAAGACGCAAAGAATTTCAAACCCGTCAGTCTCCCCTTGGTGCCCAGCAATATCATGGAACAGATCCCCCTGGTAACTATGCTAAAGCACATGGAAAATAAGGAGGTGATTGATGGCAGCCAACATGGCTTCACTAAAGGCAAATCATGCCTGACAAATTTGATGTCCTTCTACAATGGGGTTACAGTGTTGGTGGATGAGGGAAGAGTGACTGATATCATCTACCTGGACTTGTGCAAAGCATTTGACACTGTCCTGCATGACATCCTTGTCTCTCAACTGGAGAGGCATGGATTTGACAGATGGACCACTTGGTAGATAAGGAATTGGCTGGATGGTCATATGCAGAGTTGTGGTCAACAGCTCAATATCCAAGGGGACTCAGAGACATTTTTGAGTCTTTAAGCAGCAAAAGGTATTTGTTTTAAGAGCAACGTTGGGGGCTAGCCAACTCATGCTGGACAAAACTAGCCCAAAGTTATCAGTGTAAAGTCAGGTATTTATACAGTTCTGTGAGAAATTCCATCATTTTTACATGCATATTCATATTATTGCGACATTTCATTATAATATTCATAGCAGGCAGAATTTGGGCGGAGTCTGGGCGGAGTCATCCTTTTGGGGTGCTGTTTCGGGGGTTGTTCCTGTTTCTTCATCCTCAGGGGGTCTCATTCCAGAAGTCTTCCTCTCTTTGAACTTTTCAACTTTCTTGGCTGTCTTCCTGATGGTGAATTTTGCAAGATTTTGGACTCATGCCCCTATTTCGCCCCTTATCTCCTAAGGAACCCTTCCTCATGTATATTTAGGTATATGTGTTAGCATTTTTGGTGTTCTTTATTTCTCTGTGTTCTTTATGTTCTTTGTGTTAGCGTGTTAGCATTCTTTGGCCAGGTGTTATCTTTCACTAGCCTTGAATTCTGGTTCCTTTAGTTCTTTACCCAGAGCTCATATTCTGAGTTAACTCCTTCAGGGCCCTGCTCTGTTTCAATTGGGACCTGCACTGTTTAACATCTTTATCGGCGCCATGGACAGTGTGACTGAGTGCACCCTTAGCAAGTTTGCTGACACCAAGCTGCGTGATGTGGTCGACATGCTGGAGGGAAGGCATGCCATCCAAAAGGACCTGGACAAACTTGACAAGTGGGCCCATGAGAACCTCATGAAGTTCAACAAGGCCAAGTGCAAGGTCCTGTGCCTGGGTCAGGGCAATCCCAAGCACAAGTACAGGCTGGGTGGAGAATGGATAGAGACTAGCCCTGGGGAGAAAGCCTTGGGGGTGTTTGTGGATGATAAGCTCAACATGAGCCGGCAATGTGCACTTGCAGCACAGAAAGCCAACCATGTCCTGGGCTGCATCAAAAGAAGTGTGACCAGTAGGTTGAGGGAGGTGATTCTGTCCCTCTGCTCCACTCTTGTGAGACCCTACCTGGAGTACTGCATCCAGCTCTTGGGGCCCCCAACATAAGAAGGAACTGAACCTGTTGGACCTAGTCCAGAGGAGGCCACTAAGTTGATCACAGGGCTGGAGCACCTCTGCTATGGAGACAGGCTGAGAGACCTGAGGCTGTTCAGCCTGGAGAAGAGAAGGCTTTGGGAGACCTTAGAACCCTTTCCAGTACCTAAAGGGGCTCCAAGAGAGCTGGAGAGGGACTTTTTACAAAGGTACTGAGTGATTGGACAAGGTGCAACAGTTTTCAACTAAAAGAAGGCAGATTTAGATTAGACATAAGAAACTTTTTACTCAGAGGGTGGTGAGGCACTGGCACAGGTTGCCCAAAGAAACTGTGGCTGCCCCATCCCTGGAAGTGTCCAAGGCCAGGTTGGATGGGGCTTGCAGCAACCTGGTCTAGTGGAAGGTGTCCCTGCTCACAGCAGGAGGTTGAAACTAAGTGATTTTTGAGGTTTCTTCAGACCCAAATCAGTCTGTGATTCTATTCAACAGAACTCTTGTTGACAGTTTCCAGTAGCTTTTATTCCCGTGTTGAAGCTTTTTGCCTTTAAATGGATATTTAGGCAGCCTTAAATCAGGATTAATCAAGTTAAGCAGAGAACTGCTGTATTATATTGATGATTATGTGAATGCTACCAGCACATGGGCAATTGACTATAGAGGGTTTTAACCTTTATCACTATACTGTTTTGGTTTTTTTTCTTCTTTGTGAGAAAAGGTTGCACATTGCCTCCTCTGGAAGATTTTCATAACACTGCAAGCCTGCAGATCTTAAAAACAATATATATATTATATTTAGGTGGAAGGCTATTGTAGTACTTCATTAAGTGAAATTTGATGTTTTTGTGTAGGGTATTGATACAGCTAAATGTCATGTTGTTTATTCCAAACCTGTTTCCCGGAGAAATCTAGAACTCTGTGTCTGTAGGGGAACTTAACCTTTGCTTGTTTTGCTTTCTGAAAAGGAGTGGTCTGGAATATTATGTAGAAGTATTTTTTTTTTAAAATATATTTCATAAAATCATTTAGGTTTGAAAATACCTCTAAGATCATGTCCATAAAATATTTTGGGAAAATAAGTGTTCTTCAAATTTTGCACAAATATGTAAGTCCATCAGATGGAGATGTGTTTTGGGTTTTGCATTTTCTCATTTTCATTTAATTATACTTTGATAACTTTATGGTCTCTGACTCTTTATTGTCAAAATTTGACTACAACTTCAGAAAGATTGTCTAAGGAAAAATTAATGGACTTCAGAAATTACTGAAAACTGCTCAGAAGTGTTTCCCCTGTGGTATCAGAGGCAAACTGACTTTTTCAGTATCAGAATCAGCTATTCGGCTTTATTCTTATTTGACTGATGTGAGAACCAAATATATGCCGGTAACCAGGGTGACCACCAAACCACAGAAGCAGGAACGCAGGCACTGTTACGCTTAGTCTATCCTAGCGGGTAGAAGACCTGCTGTTTGCACCAATTTATCGAGGGCTTGTGCTGTGATCTCTGTGCTTTGATCTCTCTCCCAACAGGGAGCTCAAGCATGGCCTTGAGAGTGCCTCCAAGTCTCTGTAAACACCTATCTTATCTTTACACAAAAATTCTTCTTCTCAGACAGAGAACAGCAGTAGGCATACTATATTATTTCCCACACTCATATTCTTCAGTCCAGCTGCAAGGTCACTTTGAATCTATCATCCTCCTTGCCAAATCTTCCACTTTTAACCCTTTCCTCCCAACAGCTGAGAAACAACATAGCCAAACTTCTACTCATGTCATGCACCAATTTTGGATTTTTAAAGCTGTTTTATTATGCCTTAGTCTTATATTGCTCCAGTAACCTTTAAGCAATCTTGAAGCTCATTTCTTTAAACCCTGATGATGTTATGTACATTCCAGCCTGAAAAGACAGTTGTAAACTGTGGTCAGAACTTCTACTTTTCACAACTGTATTATAACTTCTTGGAACAAAAATGTCAGAAGTAGAGCAACCATGAAAGTTTATCCTAATTCCAGGTAACTTGTTCTACCTAAACAGTTAACATTCACAGCTCTAGATAATCCCTAACATAAACCAGATGCAACTCTGTACTTGACACTGTAAAGGATAAGGGATAGAAAAACAAAAGGGACTGTTTGTATTTACTGGGATGATAGACAAATCTGTTGAGCATTTTTCACTAGGAAGCTGAGGGTTAGGGGCATTCCAGCAGTTTTTCTTGACCGTTGGGCACCTGTTTTTTTTTTTTTTTTTCCCCTTTACAACAGTGGTATAAATCACTGGACTGCAGACATGGCCTGTCCCTAGACTGATCATCATTACTATTGCTGTAGCAGTTATGCTTGTACATGCCTCCTGCTGTGCAACACATACACTTTCAGGAAGTATGCTGCTCTGTCTGGCAATGAATGTATAATCAGGTGAATTAAGAATTCAGTCACTTGGAACTTTAAAGATCAAAGATATTGTTAGGTGTTAGTTCTAGGAATGATGTCTGAATAGATCTTTCTGTAGAGGTTGATTTGTCACCAAATTAAGCTAGCAACTCTTTAGGCATACAGGACTGTAGAGCATGTCAGTCTTCAGGGGATGATCAGTTTTCAGTTTTATGCCTATGGTAACAGACAAGGATAAACTTGCAGTTTTTCTTTTCTAATTAGGATGTTGCAGAATCCCCATGAGACTTGGAAAATAAAGCTTCTCTGGTGCATTGCTTCCTAAAATCTCCCACTTCTCACAAGCGTGCAAAGCTTGCTTTATTTATAGCAAGGGAAAGATTGCTGCAGAGCAGTTGAAGGGGTGAGGTTGTGTGTGCTGTAACACAGAAGTAGAAATTTGTTTACAAAGTTGATTTGTAGATGGCTGCAGAGTAGTTATATGGCCACAAGGATTAGAGTTTGCAAAGAATTAATTAAATATTAAGTCATAACTTTTTCTTTTTTTTTTTTTTTTTTGCAAAGGGTACTGCCCGCAGAAAGAAGAAGGTTGTCCACAGAACAGCTACAGCAGATGACAAGAAACTTCAGTTTTCTTTGAAGAAACTGGGTGTCAACAATATATCTGGAATTGAAGAGGTAATTGCTTCAAAGGGAAAAATGCTTTTCTATAAAGAAATATAAAATTTATTAAACCTAATTTCCTGATAATTAACATCTTAAACTTGCCTGTAAATTATCTATTGATGCTTAATTGAGCTTTAGGAACTTCAACTAGTTTCCTGTTAAATTGAAAAATCATTCTAAACTGCTTGAAATACTGGGGGGGGGGTTGGTGTGTTCTTTTTTTTCCTTGCAGGTAAATATGTTTATCAACCAAGGAGCAGTCATTCACTTCAATAACCCTAAAGTTCAGGCATCCCTGGCCGCTAACACTTTCACTATCACTGGCCACGCTGAGACAAAGCAGCTGACAGAAATGCTTCCTAGCATCTTAAATCAGCTTGGAGCTGACAGTTTGACTAGCCTGAGGAGATTGGCAGAAGCCCTACCCAAGCAATGTAAGTTAAAACTTAAATGCATTTCCTGCTGGCAGCTGACATGGCTTATTTGTATAGCTGCAGTGAAATTCAGTGCACTCTTACTGTCTGCAAACATATAAAATGCTTCTAAAGAAATGAGACTCTTAAATCTTATTTATAGCTCAAATCCAACAGTGAATATAACGGAATAAAGCAGAAGCACCTGTCTCTTAGCATATCTTGCAGCTGGTCTGGGACTAGAAAGTTGTAGCCAGACTTGATGTCATGGTAGTTTACTACTTGGTGTGGCTACCATATTTTGGCATACCTAGTTCGTTAAAGCTAGATAGAGTTACTATGGTAGTTAGGTTTTAAAAAAGGTATGTCTGTTTTGACACTTTCAATGGAAACATAAACAATAGGGAGAGGGACTTGAGGACAGATATCTTGCTACTGCTTTGATCCCTCACAGGTGTGGTGAAGGTATTTCTTCTTGCATGGGCTTTTTGATAGCTAAGAGGGAATTATACAGTATTTGTAAGGAAATATATTACAATATCTGTGTGTGTTGAACAGTGTAGAGAACAGGACTGGCATGACCATTAAGCTAGATACACCAACTTCGAATTCTATCCTTAAATTAGTAAAAGAACCTGAACACTTGTTCTCCCTAAAACTATGTAAGAAAAGTAGAGGAGGGACTTAAGTGTATGTGGTGTTTGAAAAAGGTGCTGCTGCTACAGGGTAAGAATTGGGAGTGAAAGACATGCTTGTTGACACTGGAACTGTTCTTCATGTCCTGCATGTAGGCTCTTCCTACTTCTTGTGGTAGTTATAAAGTTGATTGTTACATTTTTTCTTTTTGTGCTTTGCTACCAGCAAAGATAGACTCTATTTCATTTCCTGAAGCTGACGATGCTTCTCATCTGTCAACTTCCCACTGAAAAAAAATCTGCTAGAAGTAATCTTTAGGAGGTGAACTGCTTTCCCAATGAAGCTCAAGTCCCTCCTTCCTAGTGTCAGCAGTGTGGCTTCCTAATGGTAGAAGTGGGGCTTGAAAGAAAGAAAACTTGAAGGATTTAAAATGAACCTTTTAAGATCTCTCTTCTTATAGCAAGGTGAGTCAACTATTTATTTAAGGGAGGAGCTATTTATCAGGGGGCATATAATAGGACAAGGGGTAACAGTTTTAAACTGACAGAGGGCAAGTTTAGATTTGATATTAGGAAGAAATTCTTTACTCAGAGGGTGATGAGGCACTGGCGGCATGGGTTGCCCAGAGAAGCTGTGGCTGCCCCTGGATCCCTGGAAGTGTCCAAGGCCAGGTTGGACAGGGCTTGGAGCAACCTGGTCTAGTGGAAGGTGTCCTTGCCCATGGCAGGGGGTGGAACGAGATGGTCTTTAAGGTCCCTTCCAACCCAAACTATTCTGTGTTTCTGTGATTCATGTTAATTCCTCCCTGTTGTTTTGGATGCCACCTGTCTCAGGGACAAATGCTTGTAAAGGATACCTCATATCAATGTGCCTGCTACAAGTGTTCAATATTTTTTCACTTCATCACATTTTTATCTGTGGAATAATACTGTTCCAAATAATAGCTTTGCCATAGTTATGATAAAGTTGTACTTGTGTCTGGGAAAGGGTGGGCTGTGTCTGACTTGACAAGCATGTTTGTCGTGGTGCAAGTCATTGCTCTTGGGAAAGAGTGGAGAAACTTGTTCAAGTCATGCAACTTCTGTGGTTTGAATTAAGGCTAATGTAAGCACAACATAAATATCTCCTAGCTCTTTTATCTCTGAAGGCAGTTTTCCAAGGGATCCCACGCAATAGCACTCTAAACAGCTGAAAGTTTGCTTCTCTGAGGTTTAGGGTCCTGGCTACTGTTTTACCCATCCAGTACCCCTCAAAATTGAGAATTCTACCCAGGCATGATGGCTGTAGCCCAGACTGCCTCCAATCTTGACTTCTCCAATAAGTTAGAAAGACTTTAGAATCATAGAATCATCAATGTTGTAAGAGACCTTTAAGACCATCAAGTCCAACCGTCAACCCAGCACTACCATTGGTAAACACTAAACCATATCACCCAGTACCAGATCCAGATGCCTCTTAAACACCCCCAGGTATGGTGACTCCAACACCTCCCTGGGCAACCTATTCCAATGCCTGACCATCCTAACAGTGAACATTTTTTTTCTAATATCTAATCTGAATCTCTCCTGCCTCAGCTTAAGGTCATAAGTTCTTCTGCATTAGTGAGCAACAGGTCTAGCAGTGCGTCTCCTCTGGTTGGGCTCTCTGTCACCTGTACTAGGAAGTTGTCCTCAAAGCACTTGTATTGGGTCTGGCTGACATGGAGTTAACTCTCCCCATAGCAGCCCTCACAGTGCTGTGCTGTGTATCGTAGCTAGAAAGGTGTTGATAACATCCCAGTGCTTTTGCATCAAGGCTGTCTCTCCAACAATACCCCCCTTCAGCCCCCCAAGGACAGTAGGCTGGTGGTAGTCAAATATCTTTGGAAGAGACATAGCCAGGACAGCTGACCCCAGCTGACCAAAGGGATATTAACATCTCCTCAGCAATAAAAGTTAAGAGAAAGGAGGAGGAAGGGGAGGGGGGCATTCATTATAAAGGTGTTTGTCTTCTGAAGCAACTACTACACATACTGAAGCCCTTGTCCTATGAAGTGGTCAGAAATCACATGTTGATGGGAAATAGAGAATAAATCTTTTGTCTGCCTTTGCGTTCATGTGTGGCCTTTGCTTTTGCTTTATTAACCTGCCTTTATCTTGACCCATGAGTTTTGTTCTATCTTATTTTCTACCCTCTCTGGTCTTGCTGAAGAGGGGAGTGATAGAGCAGCTTGGTGGGTACCTGGTATCTGGCCAAGGTCAACTCACTGCAGCACTCCACTAGTTTTCTGGACTGCTTGCAATTCACTGTGCCATTTTTCCAGCAGATATCTGTGGTTGAAGTCCCCTATCAGGATCAGGGCATGCAAGCATAATGCTTCCTGCACTTGAACCACAAAGTTTCCTTTCTTGGCTTAGTCTCTAATTTTCACTGAAGCTCTTGACCTGCATATTGCTGTTCTTCAAAGATAGCTTCATGCAATCAAATCTGGTTTTGGCATAGATGGCAATGCCCCCATCTCTCCTTCCTTGTCTGTCCCTTCTGAATGGTTTAGCCATCAATTGCAACACCAATCATGCGATTCATCCCACCAAGTTTCTGTGATAACAATCAGGTTGTGGTTTTCCATCTGGGCAGCTGCCTGCAGCTCGTCCTATTTGTTTCTCATGCTGCATACTTTGATATAGAGGCACTTTAGCTGAGCTATCAGCCACATCCCCTTTTTAGAGGAGTTCACCCTAATTCCCTTGAGGCGATTCACAGGTGTTTCCTGTTGCTTCCTGATACCTTGGCAGTCCCTGGCTCTTTTCAAGTGCTTAGAACACTGTCCTTCCCCCAACAAATCTAGTTTAAAGCTCTAAGTCCAGACAGCTTATTGTCCAGGACACTCTTGCCCTGCTTGGTCACTTGAGCCCTGTGAAAATTCATTTATTCCCCTTCTGTGGCTGCCTTACACCACTAATGTTAGGCATCAGGAGATGGTGCAGTTCTTTCTGGTTTAGGGAAGTTTCAGAATAGTGTGAAACCATCATAGCTAGCTCATGCAGCCAGGGTTTGTCAGTAGTGTATGTTGATGACGGCATTTGGATAAACAATCCCCATGCACATCTGCAGCATTTCATGCTTCAGTAATTCTGCCCAAGAGTGATGGTCTTGAAGATTTTGTCTGTGTTTTTACTGTTGGTAGAAGCTGGAGTAGCCTACAGGTCCCAGGATTCACTGAGTCCTCTTCTTCCACCAGCATACAAGATTCAGACTTCCTTAGATGTGACCTCATGCACATCTACACTGGTGTCTTGGCTGACCTCTGTCAGGAACTGTAGACTAGATGGATTATCATTCTGCTTTAGTGTGTCAGCCTGCTCACATTTGTAGAATAGACCCTCTACTCCCATTATATTTTCTCCTCATATTTAGCATTTTAATTATTTGTACCTTGTTAATTAAGCACTGATTTGTTTCAAAACATGGAACGGCTTTTACCTTTTCTTTTTCAGTTATGTCCCACTTCTGTAGCTCTCTAGTCTCATTAGGAAATTTAGTATATTTGATAAACTATGTCAGCAGGCTGTAAGTTGAATTCCAAGGGGGACTTGAGCCTTCAAAATATATCTATTAATGCACAAAAAAATGCACCAGTATATTTTCTAGGAGGATGTGGATCTACCTGAAACCTTGTCATTTTATGTGAACAGAAAAGCATAACACTTTTAAACAAAAGCCTTTTTGGATATGATACCTTGGAGTTTTGATGTTTTGATTTTTTTAATTTTTGTAGATCTTAGAAGTAGTTATGTAGTAAAGGTAGATTTTAGAGTAGCAGCAATATTACCCTTTACCCTTAACACACCAGCTCAAACCCCTGTTACCCATTCCCATATCAATTCCCTAAATTCCTTAGCCTGTTTAGTCTCTTTTTCAAGGCAGAACATCCTAACCCTGTGCAAGAAGATATAGACATAGACCCAACAACCTTCAGGCCTAGAGTTCTGGAAGGCCTCCAAGAACATTATGTGCTCTGAGGAAGATGAAGATGAAGAAGAGGGGGTCCCAAATGCCCCCAGACCCAATTTCCAAGAGGCGTGGCGGGGGCAGAACCTGGGTGGTGGCAGGACGGGGATTGGGCGAAAATCATTATAAAACTGTGAACATCTTGATTTCGGGGGCGCGCGCTGGGGTATTCCAGAAAGCCTGGGGGCTCATTAAACCTTTGTATCCTTATCTTATCTCCTACCTAATTTGGATGGGAGTCTTTTTTTCCTCACAGCCATTTAGGCAACAGATACAATGGCAATGTTAATGATAGACATCTTACCACAGATGCAGAGTAGCTAGGCAAGCTGCTTCTGTGGTGCATTTTTGGAAGCAACTGCTCTTTGAGTTCTTTAGGCTATAATGCTTAAGAT